GTGGGGGAAAACAAAGAAACAAACACATGACACCGAAGCATCGATCAGATGCGGAGAGGGAAATATTTTTTTCTTCTTCTTATTTTTGTGTGTGCGTGTGTGTGTTTATGCGCGCATGCGTGGGCAATAAAAAGGTGGGTGGGTGGGGGGGGGGGGGGCTATTTGGTTGCACGCACCCTCCAGCAGTAACACTACAAGAGTGAGATGCTTGCGTGCAGGTGTGCGTAGATATACTCAACGTACACTATGAACACATCCGCCCGGCTTCCTGTGGCACATGCACTGAGCCGCCGCCCCTCCAAAAAAAAACAACAACAAAAAAAAAGAGATAGACATGTGCATATACGCCTGCACGTGTTGATGCGTGGGTGTGTCTGGCAGTCTGTGCATACGCATACATACAGAATATGTAGCAAAGAGAAAACTACACAAAACGAACGAACGAACGAAGAAAGACAAGAAAGCAAATATCCCATGAGTTTAACAGAAAACGAAAACAACACACACACATACACAATGAGAGGGAAGTGGCAGCGTTGGGGTGGTAGACTGCGGTCTCACTGTGAGTCACCCACCCCCGCGCCCGCCTACTGTGCGACGGCTGGGTCCACCTCAAAGACCTTCATGAGTGAAAACTCCCGTTGCAGATCGATAGGCTTCGACGCACTCAGCTGCGGCACCTGCGTAAACCGCTTTTTCTTCAGCATGTCGCGGGTGGCGATGAGCATGTCCTGGTACGAGAGGTTGCTCGTTTTGAGTATTGTGTAGGTCAGACACTGCGTGGCGGCCCCACCAGCGCCTGTCGCGCCCGTCCCAAACGCGGCGGCGTTGGCCACGTCCGCGGAGGTCTGCTCGTCGGCGCAGCCGGAGATCATTAGCACGTCCCCGTCACAGTTGTTTCCGCGGCGGATGCGCTGCATGTGCCCGGTGACGCCGCTGCGCACGCTTCTGCCGCCCACAAACGTGTACGGCAGGTCAAGCATGGAGCCAGAGTGGCAGCAGTCGAAGACTACGGTGAGTCGCACCCCATGCGGCAGGCTTCGGAGCAGAATTTTAAAAATGTCATCGTCAAGGATGCAGCCGTTGCGTTCGAAGTCGACGGGGGCAATGCACTGGTCAAACGCCTCCTCCGAGTCGCTCAGCGCACGCGTCTGGGTGCCGTGGCCCGAGAAGTGCATGAAGAGCACGTCGCCCGCCTTTGCGTCCTTCACCAGCCAGGCCATGTAGCGCACGATGTTGTCGCGCGTGGGGAGGCCGTTGGCGCCAGGGAATCCCTCCTCATCCACGAGGATGCTCGCCTCGTCAATGGGGAACCGCTTCTTCTGCAGCGTGGCGAGGATTTGTTTCACGTCGTTGCAGCAGCCGGAGAGCTCGGCGCGGGTGCCGTAGTAGTTGATGCCGATGAAGAGGGCACGAAATTTGCCGCTCTTCTGGGCGGGCGCCTCCCACGGCTTGAAGCCCTCCGTCTCCGCCGCCTGCTGGAAGGCCTCCGCGACGTCGACCCGCGGCGGGCGATTGACGGTGCCAAGGTACTGCACTATGTAGGGACCGGTAAGCTTAACGAGCTTCAGTCCCAGGTCCATGTAGTTTATCTTCCCCTTCGCCCCACTGACCTCCCTCACCAGGCTGAAGACATTCTTCAGGCAGTTGAAATCAAACCCCATTGCCCTTTTGTTTGTTTGTTTGTTTTTACCTTCACTGTCTCTTTGCTCGGTTTCCTTCGCGGAGAGGTGTCACGGCAGTAGTTCCACGTATGGGGTAGCGCCTTCCTACGCCCGCTCTTTATTCTTTTCGTGTTTTTCTTTCTTGTTTTGTCTACGCCCCCCTTTTTGCTTCAGTGGGGTTCGCCCGGTTCCTTCGTGCAAGCAGACGCCGGTGTGTGGTCCTTAGCTGCGGGCAGGGGCGACGCACGCACGCACGCACGCAGAAAGAGAGGGGGATAGAGAGAGAAGGGGAGCCGAAGATGCACGGCAGCGGCGCGAGGGGAGGCGACGGCACATACACACACAGACGCGAGGGAGCGCGTGAGAGGAGGCGGAATGAAACTTGCATCATTCTCTGTTTTTGCGCGTGCTCTTTAGAAAGACCCTCTACCACCTCTCTCTCGCTTTTTTTTCTTTTTTCTTTTTTTCGTTCGTTCTGTGTGTTGTGGGCTCCGTCTTGCAACTTCGTGTCTCCGCCGCCGGGGGGTTGCGGCGCGGCAACGCCGTGTCTTTTTTTTTCTTTTCCTTTTTTTGTTTGCTTTCTTTTTCTTTTCCCCCCTCCCCTCGTCATTTCTCGCCTCCTCCTTCCCGCTTAACGCTTCTTCTTCCCTCGCCTTAAGTTAACTTACGTGTTTGTTTTTTTTTTTGCGTTTCTTTGCCTTGTCGTGCTGTCGCTCGTCCTCCCCGCCCCCGTCAGAGGCGCTCGAGGGCGCCCGCAAGCTCCGCCAGCTCCCGCTCCTGCTCCGCCAGCCACGCCGCGCCGCCCTTCGCGACGAACTCCTCGTGCAGCTTCGCGTACCGCGCGAGCTCCTTCGCGAGCCGCTTCCGCTCCTTCTCCGTCACCGCCTCGCCGGTCGCCGCCAGCCGCGTCGGGAGCCCCGTCGTCGCGTCGAAGGCGGCGTACGTCTGCCTCTCCGCGTCGCGCGCGCTGAAGTACTCCTGCGGCGGGCACGTGTACTGGCGCCACTTCTCCGTCGACCGCCGCTTCGTCTCGAGTTGGTTCACGAGCCTCGTGCGGCGCTCCGTCGCCTGCTGCGCCCGCCGCTCCGCCACCTCGCGCTGCAGCGTCGCCACGTCGTCGGGCTTCCACGTCGTGGGGCCGGCGGGGTTGTCTTCGATGCGGATGCCCGCCGGCACGAGCCACTCGTCCCGCACCGCGTCGCAGAGCGGCAGGTACGTCCCGCCCCCCCCTGTCGCCTTCGCCGCGTCCCGCACACCGTCGCGGAAGCGCAGCAGGGCGTCCATCACCGTCACGAGGCGGTCGTCCGTCCCCTGCTGCGCGCCAAACCCGACCACGTCGCCCCCCTCCACCACGCCGAAGACCCGCAGCATGCGGGTGACGTAGCGGCCCACCTTCTGCACCAGCGTCCCACTCGTCCGCTCGCCGCTGAGGAGGTACTGGTTCGTCGCGCCCACCAGCTCCATGAGGGCGTCCATGGCGGCGGGGGTGTCGAGATTGTTCTGCAACGCGCCATGGACGGTGTCTTCGACCGTCGAGTAGAGCTCGCTCAGGCGGCGGTCGTGGGCGTTGAAGCCCTGCGTCTCGCCCCAGGCGTCCTTGCGCAGCACCACATCGACGCTGCCAAAGAAGGCGCGAAGCACGCGTTCCCGCTCCCTCGCCTCATCAATGCTTTGGTCGGAGAAGTTCATCGGTTTTCCCCATTGGTTGGCAAGGAAGAGCAGCCGCATCACGCGTGGCGTGACACCGAGTTCGTCCAGCGCCTGCCGAATCGTAATGAAGTTCTTCAGACTCTTACTCATCTTGAGCCCCTTAATGTGCAGGTGCCCGCAGTGCAAAAAGTAGTTCACCCACTGGTGCTGCAGGTTGCAGGCCTCGCTCTGCGCACACTCGTTGTCGTGGTGGGGGAACTTCAGGTCCCAGCCGCCGCTGTGCACGTCCATGTTCGCGCCGAGTATGTCCGACGCCATGACAGAGCACTCAATGTGCCACCCGGGCCGTCCCTCGCCCCACGGCGAGGGCCAACGCGGCTCCCCGGGCTTCGAAAACTTCCACAGCGCAAAGTCGTTCGCGTTCCGCTTCTCACCGGCGACGCCTGCGCTCAGGGCGCCCTCGCCCTCCGCCATCTCCGCCTCCGTCGCGTTACTCTCGCCGCGCTCACTCACCGGCTTTAGCTTCGGGTAGTCGTGCCCGGCCCGCGCAAAGGCGCCGGTGTCAAAGAAGATGGAGGTGGTGCCGCGGTAGGCAAAGCCGTTGTCCATGATGCGCTGAATGAAGTCCACCACCTGTGGGACGTACTCCGTCACACGCGTGACGACGTCCGGGTCGCGAACGCCGAGGCTCCGCATGTCCTCAAAGAAGAGCCGCTCGTACAAACGCGCGTGGTCCTCAAAAATGCGCTGGTCCGTCACCTCCTGCCCCTCCCGCTCATCCAGCAGGTCGCCGTTAATGCCGGCGGCCGCGGTGAAGAGGGCCTCGAAGTCGCCAGACGCCGTCGCCGCCGCAATGCGCTCCCTCGTCGTCTGCAGCTGCGACTCCTTCAGAACGAGCTCCAGCAGCTTCTCCTCGCGCTCCGCCTTGACGCGGCTCGGGGTGGCGTCCGGCAACGGCGTCGACAGCTTGCGCCGCGTCTCCGCCAGAGCAGCCACCGCCGCCGCCTCCGCCTCGGCCGTGAAGGCGGCGAGCCTCGCCACGTCCCGCCCCTGCAGCACGTCCTCCCGGAAGCGCTTCAGCAGCGCCCCAATGCGGGCCCGCTTGATGATCTTGTCGTCGATGTCCGTGATGTTCATCTGGTACAGCACCTGGTAGCCGAAGTAGTCCTCCATGATGCGGCGCAGGATGTCAAAGGTGAGGTAGGCGCGGGCGTGGCCCATGTGGGCGACGTCGTAGACCGTCGGCCCGCACATGTACCACCGCACCAGCCGCCCCGCACGCGGCGCAAACGGCTCCACGGCCTCCGTCAGCGAGTTCAGCACGCGCAGCCCTTTTCCGTCGTCGCGCGCGGGCGGGAACCACGCCGGGTGCCGCGGCCGCCGCACCGGCTCCGCGGCGTTCAGCCCCTCCACCACCGCCGCCGGCGGCCGCGGCTGCGGCGCACCGGTGCTCATGACGGCTGCAACGGGGACCAGCGACGACACGAGCGGCACGGCACGAAAAAGACGCGTGGCTGCGGGCGAAGTAAAGACGGAAACAGAGCCCAACAGCAAAAACACACCCACACACACACAGTGAGAGAGAAGCAAAAAACAAAAAGAGAAAAAAAAGAACGAAGCCCGGAAAAGCACCAAACCCAGCGCACACTACTGAGGACTGCCGCGGACGCTGACGCTACTCTACGCAACGAAAGAGGACGGGGAGGCGCAGAGAGGACGGGGGTGGCGGCGCAGCGGTAGCCGCACAACACAAAACCAAAGCAAGACAAAAACACACACACACACGCACGGACACACAAGCACAAAAAACCAATAAAAAAACCACCACCGCAGACCAACAAGCAACACCCAAAGAATAACAACCCAGCCATTAGCGCGAAAGCAGTCAACGCACGCAGGGGAAACCAAAACAAAGAAAGGAAACAACAGAATACAATACAACAATAGATCAAATAAAAGAAAACTTCAACGATCAAATCAGACAAAAAAAGAGAAGACACAACAGAAAAACCTCCGCCACAAGAAGAAAAAAACACAAACATAGGCGCATACAAAATGCAATTACAACGCTAAACAAAAAACCATTACAATCGCACACACTACCACCGCCGAGCAGGGGTACTCCTTCACGAGGCACTGGTTCGTGCCCTTTTGCAGGCGGATGTAGCCCTCCTCGCCCCAGACCGCGCCCCACGAGTTCTTCACGATCCAGTACGGCGGGTCGCTGCTGTCGTTGTAGCCGACGAGCACGACGCCGTGGTTCAGCTGGTCGGCGAAGCAGTTCGTCACGACACCGCCCGTGTAGGACATGAAGCTGGTGGCGTCGACGGCAATGGCGAGCGGGCCGTGGGCAGCAAGCCAGGCGGCCATTTTGTCCTCGTCCTGCGGCAAGTCAACGTGGCCGGTGATGACGGCGCCCGCCGTGCGGTCGGACATCCTGCACACCGGCGCCTGGCCACCGCCCGACACGTAGGGGTAGCTCTCCTCCGTGTACACAACGCCGTTGTTCCGCTGCACGATCCAGTCGAAGGCGTTGTCCATCAGGCCA